GCGCGTCTTGCCTTGGAACCAGAGGTAAAAGGGTGGGGGTGATGGGCAACTGGTGTCTCTAACTTCTTCATCCTTTGCACTGAATTAATAATTTTATTTCCCTTCTTTAAGTGTCTTGGTATAAGAGTGCACAAGTCTGTTGTTCCTTGTAGTTTATAAAAGGGAAAATTAGAATAGGCTGCCTTTAGTTCTTCCAGCAAGCTCATAAGGCATTCTGACACACTCATTATTTAGGGCACTGGCTAAAGTGCCCTAAATAATGAGTGTGTCAGAATGCCTTATGAGCTTGCTAGTACAGGGACAAGTGGTAGGTGAAAAGCAAAGTAGGAGATAGAATATAGGAAAAAATTTAGACTATGAGAAACTCCTTCCCAATGAGAATCACCAAATCACAAGGTAAAAATCAATCGAGGGGTCTACATGGAAGTGAAAAGTAAAGTAATTCAAATTGAGTATTTTAGTACAAAGAACACATTTGTCTGGAAGTGATTCTCTGAACTCACGCTGAGTTGCAAGCAAAAAGCTAACTGGAATCAAGGATCTGCTCTTCTGTCAGATGGATGGGTTATACCCAAGCTCAGCTTCCCATGGGACTTTATCCCCTTCCAGGAGGACTGTACCATCCCTCAGTCTCAAGGTCCCAGACAATGCCTACAAACAGCTGGCACCCTAAATCCAGATTGCTTGGCACCAAGCAGCCTGAGTAGTCTGTCATTGGCAATGCTCCTTGTAGGCTTGCTCTACAAGAAAGAAGAGCAAGGGACCCTGTCAATGAAACCCAGGCTCATCCTACACACCCGACAAGGGCCACCTCTCACCAACGCTCAATTAGCTACTACTGGCCCAACCCACCACCTGCAGAAACCAACACGGCCACAGTATGGCACAATTTTTCAAGGAAACCAGCAACCACTTGGGCAAATTGATTACTTTGGATCCCTTCCATATGGGGTGTGTGTGACTGTGGGAGAGCAATTCATCCTTTCCAGAAGTGATTCATGCTCTTGTTACGAGTTTGCTTTTCTTATTCAGTTTCCCCAGCAGCACTACCATTCAAGAGTTTACAAAATGGTCATCTATTGATGTGGTCTCCCATATAGTGTTGCCTAAAACCAATGGACCCATATTACTGCAAAGAAAATGCACATGACCATGAGAACTACTGGTCTCATCATATATATACCTCATCACTCAGAAGTGTATGGCCTAATGAAATGGCCCATTAAAGGCTCAGCTAACTTTTTAGGTTTTAGACCATACTCTGTGGAATGGGAGTGACTTGGTAAGAGCCCTTGTTGGTCTCATGAGTAGCTTCTATTCTTGTCATTTATGAGTGACCCTGGGTGAGACGAGAAGAGCTGCCTGGCTGAGCCCAACCCAAATTGCTGACCTACTGCATAATGAGCAAATAAAAAGGTTATTATTTTAGACTATTATGTCTTGGAGTGGTTTGTTACCTGGTAATAGATTACTGATACAGCATATGAGGTCAAAAATATCTGAAATTGTACAGAAGGTGTATCTAATACAACTGAAGAAAATACATGCTAAGTTCTACCACACTCTAAAGAGTTTCCAGGCCCTTCTCTAAAGGCTCACCAAAAGGCAGCAAAACCGGTTCTATGACTATCACCCAAACACCTCCCCAGCCTGAATGAAGGAAGACTAGAAGGGAGATTTTTTTTTTTTTATTACTGACCATCTTTAAGGGAGTATTATAGATTTTTTCTTCCATTAAGGAAGGCAAAGCCAAGCAAGGGGGCCTCCGACAGTTGAGTGAAGAGTGTCTTCAAAATGTATCATCTTCCAGGTGTTCGGTTACTGAACAACAGCTATCTATAGGTCCAAACCAGGCAGAGAACTTTAGGGAGAACCAACCACATCTCCTTGAAGTTTGGAGACTGGAGTCAGCAGAGACATTGCTATCTGCTTCTTGCCAGAAGAATTCTGAAGACAAGCAACTTGCTGGAACAACAAGACAGGGCACCTTGTCTGTTGTTCAGCATGGCAAGGATATATGAATTACCCATGAATCACGTGAATGTCACAGAAAGCAAATAAGCTTGAGCCTCTTGCTTGTGTCCTGCCAATGCGTGAGGGGATACTGGCAGTAAGCTGTGTGTATTCCACAAGAGGCAGGGGCTGAGAAAAAGTTAGAAAAGGTTTAGTCCATATTAAAGAACTGTGCCTTGAGGAGGGTGCTGAAGAATCACGCTCGCCCCATAAGAGAGCCAGCATTTGGGTGCCAGTCACAAAGAAGGCATTGACAACCAAGAGAGGACTTATAGTAGCATCAAAAAGTAAAAGAGACCAGGGGCTGAGGAAAGAGAGGCCAGACAGAGGAAGGAACATTATTTGTGTTTTCAGATGTGCCGTCAAATATTCCTAGTGGGAGTCTAAAAGAACCCCCAAATGAAACGAAGAGAGAAAGAGCCAATTTTAGGTATCTGCCAAGTGCAGAGAGGACGAAGCCATCTTATGACTGCACTTGTAAAGCAATCACTTGCCCACCTCCATTCCCACCTTCTTCATCCTTAGAAGGGAAGAAACTGATTAGCAAAATGGGGAAGTAGAAGCCTAAGGAACAGAAAGAGAAGAATTATACTTGCTTCTTTGACTTTAAACTCACCGATAAGAGAGGATTAAAATATAACTTTAAATCAAGTTCTGGGTTTTGATTATTTTAAGGGGCTGCTGGTTGTCCCCTCCAACCTTTTTTCTAAAGTCATAGAATTTTTAGCTAGGTACAAGACTGCTTAGAATAAGACCACCGTTTTTCCCAGTCTCCCTTACAGGTAAATATAGTAATGTGATTAAGTTTTTTCCAATGGGCTGTGAACATAAGTGATGTTAACAACTTCTGGATTGTTCCCATCAAGGAAATGGGTAGGTCTCCCCCTTCCTGACGACTGAAATGTGATGTGGTGCTGAGCCATTTTGGACCAAATATACAAAGATAACGTTTTAGGGATGGTGGAGCAAGAAGACAGAAGGAGACTAACTCTTGCTCACTCTGTGGAACAAGAGCTGCTGTATTAGTCCACTTTGCCATTTAATAAACAAAAGTCTCAGTGCCATATGACTGCCCATTTATTTCTCACTCATGGGTTTATAAGTTGGTTGGGGCAGGTCTGTTTGGCATGAAACCCTGAACTTGAAGGTTTTCTACAAATGTTTTAACATAATGGTCCTCACTATGTGGGACGGGTGACAGCAGTGAATGGCCCCAGCTTCCAAAATGAATGGCTCTCAACACGGGAACTGCTCTGCTTCAGAATGTGGGTCAAGTTTAGCTCTGCTTTACATGTCTCATTCTTATCACCAGGCTGGAGGGAAATTAGGAGCTCTCAGGACAGTGGCAGTCCCTTCCCACAGCAGTAGTTAGATCCAGTTTGCAGTTTTGCCCACACTTACAGACACAGCATCTTGAGCTCACCCCCACCGGCCCCGTCCTCCCCCCATCCCCCGCCGCCAGACGCCAGTACCAGCAGACGCAGGTCCCTCCTCATAGATCTGAGTTTCAGCTCTGCAAAGCCTATCCTCTAAATGTCTAAACTGTAATAACCCCAACCTCATCCCTTGGTTTCTCAAGCTCTAGACATAGTAGCTGTTTCCCGCAGTTGCTATCTCTGTGATATATTCAGTTCCCTTCTTGCTTTTTCAGTTATCTAATAGTCAATTCTTTTTTTTTAATGATCAATTCTTTAAATTCTTTGTTAAAATAATCGGGATGGTTTGTTTCCTGACAGCGCCCTAATTCATTTTACTAAATCTTTTTTTTTTTCAGGCGAGGCAACCCTTGGTTGACCTCATAGAATGCAAGGATCTTGTCAGCTTACAATCCTTTATTTTTTTTATTTTTCACCGCCTACAGCACCTCGTGTTCCTAGGCGGTCTCCCATCCAAGTACTAACCAGGCCTGACCCTGCTTAGCTTCCGAGATCAGACGGGATCCGGCTCCTTCAGGGTAGTATGGCCGTAGACCCACTTTACTAAATTCTATGCCTGTGAGACTCCCTTCAAGAATTTTTCTTTGATATATTTCATGACACCCTGCCCCCAGTGTGTCACTCCCCTGTATTCATTTTTATCACTGTGCTTAAGTGTTGTCACTCCCCCCCACCCCCCATCCATCTCCTCCTCAGGCCAATAGCTCCCTTATCAGAGCACATGTTTCCTCAGCACCTGGGACATAGGAAACTCTGAACGACACACGTTATAATGAATGAGTGAGCGAGGAAAATTAAAACAGGAACAGAAGCAGTTAATAGTATGAGATGTGGAAGGCTCACACCGCGCCAAAATGAAAGAGAAAGTTAGACGGTGATGTGAGAAACAGGAGGGCTGGGGCTGCCAGCTGCGAGCACAGCTCCAAGCACACAGAAAGCTCTCAATAAATAACGCGAATCGACAACAAGATGAAGGCACTGAGACTTTGCAAAGAATACTTGGTGACAGGCAGGGTAAGAAGGAAAGGATTGAGAGGACTCCCGGGCACTCCAAAGTGTGTTGGCCCTTTGAGCTCTGAGGGGATAACTCAGCCTTAAGGGAAGCCTCTCACTTCGCTGCCGGGTCCTGCTCAGCCCTTTCCGGAATTTCATTCCTGGTTCCACCGACCCCTCCTTCTCTGCTCCGTGCCCCTAGAGGAAACAGGTAAAACACCAAGCACTGGGTGCTATTTGAGGGGCTGTTCTGGGCATGCGTGAGCGCACGCCCGTGCGCAGGCGCAATAACTTCCGCTGTCTCTAGTACTGCCCCTTGCCGATATACGAGAGCGTTCTCTCAGAAGCCGGCTCAGACTACTCTAATTGACCATCTTTCTCGTGGGCCCCCGCCCTCCGGTTGCTGTGAGGGAAGCCTCGCGAGATCCTCCTCAGCAAGTGCCTAGTGGTGCCATCTTTGTGCCTGGCGAGCGACGGCACCCGACGGGAGCCGTGAAGCCGGCGGTTCTCTTGCCTAGTTCTCGCCGAGACCGGATCCAGGAAATACGAGGCGGACCTCGGTGGGAGGAGACGCACGAAGGGAGGAGTGAGGAGTGAGGAGGGAGGAGGGAAAAGGGAGGAGGGAGGAAAGGGGGCGGTGGCAGCTCTCACCGTATCCGGGCCCCGCGCGGTGCGCACCCGAAGGGGGGTCGGGCGGGGAAGCAGCGCCAGCCCGGACCCCCCGCGGGAACAGGACGGGAGTGAGGGTGAGGCAGCGGCAGCAGCGTTCGAGAGCAGCAGCTGCCGGGTGAGTGTCCGCGAGGAGGCCCGGTACCTGCCCCGACTGTGGCGTCGGGGGTGGCCCCAGGGTCGTCCTCAGGATGGTCCCGGTGACCCAGCGCCCGGGCGGTGGGCGTGTGCGCGACTGCCGGTGTCCCGGGGGTTCGACTCGGCCTGGGGCTGCGGGAGGTCTGCGCAGGGCCTGGCGCGCCGGTCCCGGACGGCCAAGGAGAGAGGGAGTGGCCGGGAGCCTGGGTTGGCCTTCGCCCCCCGAACCGAAGGGATGATGTCCTTTCTCGCCTCGACTTTTAGGAAGAGCGAACCTATGTGGATGGGCTTCAAGCCCTAGCAAGGCGTTTGCGGACGAGAACTAACAGCACCAAGGTTGGGGTTGTTGAGGGTGTTGAGAAACGTGGGGACGGTTAGTAGTAATTGTTATAAAAGAGGTTTGCAAATGATTGTTGTCAGGTGTGTAGTAAGGCAAAAACATCGTCTACGTTCATTTAAAGAAGATCACATAAGCACTCCTCTGAGGTCCAGCAGCAGATTAGAGTTATTAACAGTGACGCTCTGTAGTTTAGTACTGTGGGCCAGCCCATTAAAGTGCATAAAAGCAGGATTTTATGGGGAGTGGCATGGGGGACAAGGTGGCTATATTATAAAGTATAAAGTAAGCTACACATAAAGTCAAAAGTTCATACTGTCGATAAAAAAGCATTTCTGTCCTTGCTGAAACGTAGTTTTTAAAAATTGCTTAAGAAAACTTGTCACCTTTGGTCCAGACAGTGCTTGTCAATTCCATGTGTTCTTCAGTGGCATTTGTCAGTCACACAGCACTTTTGGCTTGTGATGTGCTTCTAGTTTGTAAAAGAACAAGAATGAATGGGAAAGAACAATTCGACAAACTTAGCTTCTTTTGCACACTTTTTTTGGAAGGATAAGGGGATTTACTTTTTTTCTTTGCAAATGTGTTGCAGTAGTATACAAGAACATTTGAGGGAAGAAAAACATTTAGATGGGGAAAGGGCTTTTGAGATGAGTTAATTTTTCACAGAATTAAATTTTAAAGGGCATCATCATACCTATGGGAAGTTTTGTAGTGGTGTCTGTGAACACTGGAAGATCGCAAGCATAATTTTAAATTGTTAGTGTGTGATAATGAAGTTTTTCAACTTTAGCGCCGCCGCCCATTTGCCTACAACTGACTTAAGGGCAAGACTTTAGTGAAGTTAAATATTAAATATGTGATTTTGTCTTTACATTTGACAGAACGTAATCTATGTTCTGTCACTCTGAATTTTTTCCACAGGTTTATTTGACAGTCTTCTCAATTATAGATACCACGCTTCGTACAGTTTGTGTTGGAGGGAAGGGAGCGAACACAGTATATTCAGGTACTGGGCTTGGTGAATTAGTGAATTACATATGTTTGTGTTTAATCCTCACAGCTACTCTGTGCTAAAGATAACATTATCCCTGTTGTACAGATAAGGACACCTCCAGTATTCCTCAGTAACTTTCCTGAGGTCATAAAGCTCAGTTGCAGAGCTGGAACTCAAACCTGTGTGTCTGATTCTAAAATATGTGCTTTTTTTTTTACTATACTCTGCATAAGTGTATGTGCTGACCGATACAAATTTTATGAAAATGGAAATTTTTGTCACAAAGAAACCTTTCAGTTTTGTTGGTAATCTTGAAAGCTTTCAGTGTTCTTGTCTAAAGATAATCAAGTTTTATTTTCTTAAGATACCTTCATTTTCTAGCCAGAGGTAACATTTTTAGCAGGTCTGCTGATTAGTTAAGATTCTTAGTAGCCATAGTAAGGCTTCTTGGTAACCGGTAGTGACCTATCTGAAATCCAGATGTTTTCGATAGCTTTGTCTCCAGTTTCAGCATGCTCCAAATACTTCAAAGATCAAATATTTTGTTTACTCTGGTCTTGAATAGTTTTTCAAATTATATTACTAAAATAAAATACCAACTATTGATAAGGGTTTGAATTTGCTATATCATAGCTTGGAGGTATACACACACATTACCCACCCACCTACCGAGCCACCCACCTACCTTCTCCAGCAAGTGGCGTACTTGATAACAGACGCCGTTTTTCTTCTCTTTAGTATAGAAGTTTTGGACCCAGTCGTGGTTTGCAGAAAATACGGTAGCTATTCTGGGATCCAGCATAATCTTCTGTGGGGCTAGGAAGTGAAAAACCTTCTAGGTTCCCTGTCAGTATCATAGATGTCAGTGAAACAGCAGGAACATCTTGCCAGTGCATGGCTGTTGGTCACTTTTTGTCACCCACTGGCCCCTGCTCTTGCATCTTGGATATGCTGCTGAGCTTGCCATCCAGGCACTCTCTCTGCTCAAGAGAAGGTTCAACTGAAAGAATAGCAGCTGAAATTTGTAAAGAAAGTAAAAGTTGCTAGGTGCTGGCACTCATCCTCCACAGGTCTTTGGGTTAGGTTTACCTGTTGAATTAATTATTCCTGGCCAGAAGTTCTGGAGAAGTTATGGAATTTCGGGTTTGCGGTTCCATCTTTTAAGAAGTAAATTCTTTGGGGGCTTTCAGTTAAATAGGCCTTCGTGGAAACATGGGCGTTAGATAGAGGCTGAGGAAAAAGAAGTCCTGTGCTTCTCAGGACACATCTGCTTGCGTGCTTGTTTTATATGGAGTTTGGAGCTTTGCTTAAGGTGATAACTTGGAGTCTTGATGGGCAATGTTTGGTCTGAATGAGCTTTTCATTATGGGTATACTCCCAGGAAAGAGTTAAATACACTTCCTTATTTGTGAAGGTAATTACTCATGGTATTTGGATTATTGGGGTGAAAAAAATCGACAAATGATAATGTAACTGAGTACTCACCAAGGAAATAAAAAAGCCTGAAATGATTTATATTGCTGCTATACAAAGAAAAGACATCAGGAAATTGTCTCATATGTATTGAGAAGCTTTTTTTCATACCTTCTGCATAATAAACCTCAATTTATTACCACGGCCACAAGTATTCATTTGTCTAAAGTGAAACGGACCTAATGAAATATTTGGAACTGTCCAAATGAATCAATCGTAAACATTTAAGAACATTTATTATAGTTTCATTCATTGGCAGTTCTATTATTTGTTCAACATTTCTGTTTCAAATTTCTTTCCTTACTTTCCTTCCTCTCTTTCTGACACTTCCTCCTAGTACCTGGAGCTTTTCCCTTAGTTTCTAGTTGACAGTGAAGTCTTAAAGAGTGGAAGCTGATAAGGAGGGCAACGAAAGTCCTCTAAGTTTACTTCCCTTTTCCGAATCCCTGTGCTCCAGGAGTTCAAGAGGGACTCGGTCAGGACTCCTTAACCCACTCCATTCTTTCTTGAGGAGAATGAGAATAGCCAGATTGAGGGAGGCAGTGTCAAGACTCTTGCCCCAGTTTCTTTTTCTTTTCCTTCCCTCTCCTAAGCATTAAGGAGGAAAGTTTGTAAAAGCCCATCCGCTGCAGGAGTAGGCACTGTTTCCCCCGTCTTCTACAGCCCACCTGGACTCTCAGCACTTTTTCCTTGCTCTCCTATAAGCTGCCATCTCACGCTTCCTCCTGATCTCCTAAGTAGGTCTTGCCTTCCTCATCCTAGGATGTCCTCCCACTGCAGGTCTGCATTTTTGTCTTTTTAACTCTGAGCCTAATGCACTGCCAACCGCCCTCGTTCATACCTTGATCTTGGAAGCCTGGGCCTGTGGTCCTAGGGGAGTTCAGATTCCCAGTCAGGGGGAGGGAAGAATTCTACTTTCAGGGCTGAGTGGGCAGGGGGTAGCTGCTTTTATTCTGAGTTGACTGCTAAATACATTTTCCTATAGAAACATTGCTTATGCAGGTTTGGTGTTATACTTTTGTAACCTTTAGGAGTGTTTAAGTTTTTGTGAGCTGGCTCAGAAATCTGGCACATAGACCTTTGTTTCCTGGGAAGGCAAGTTCTGAGGTTCAAACAGATGACTTAAAACCTAAGTCTGTGCTCCAGAAGTTGTTGGGGAAGTAGGGAGCCTGCTCTGTTAATTACTCAGTGGCATGGTAGGGAGCACACCTTAGGTCTCCAAAATTAGATGTGTTATGCGGATCAGATGGCTTTTCTGGGAGATAAAACTGATAGCCTTTTTAGATTGTCAGTAAAGAATTTTTGAATTTAGGCACATGTTTTGACATAACAATTGAGGTTCATTCCATCCCAGGGCCATGTTCGTCATTAAAGCAGAAGTTACAGTGTTGTGGAAAGAACAGTTTTTCTTTGTCATAAAAGGAATATCCTGTTCCCACTATATCTTGCTGCTGTTTTGATACTTTCAAGGGTATTGGAACTCTTGCAGTTATTTTACCCTAGTTTACTTAGTGGTAGACTTAAAATAAAGTTTTATTAGTCTGTTGTTTAAGTTATATGCTGTTACCACTTTTTGTAGTATTCAATTAAGTGAAGGATTTCAGAGTGATAAAAGCAAAGCAAAATACATTTTAAATTTGTTCTCCTTAAATGCAATTTCAGCTTAGTTGAAGTACATATTCCTAATAAAAGGCAAGATGGGTCTTTTTTTGTGGGGGGGGGTCTCTAAACCACTCTCGTCTTAAAAATGAATTTGAGTAAGTATCCTGTGTTTATTTTTAATAGAGTTCAGTTGTTAAAAACATTATTTCTAAGGGTAACATGCTCAAATGTTCAAATCTTACTTTTGACACTAACTAGCTCGGTGATCTTGAGCAAGTTGCTTAATCTCTGACCTGTTTCCTCATTTTTGAAATTGGGATAGTGTAATATCTACATCACAGAATTTTTGTGGGGATTAAAAGAACCAGAGGCTATATAATATTTAGGACAGGCCTAGCAATGGTAAATGCTGTTAGTTCTTCTCGGTATTATTACTCCTATTGTTATTATTAATTTGTCATCCTCATTATTGCTGCTACTGTTACTACTTTGGCTACCTTCTGAGATGACACCCCTTCTGTTCTGGGTGTGTGTATGTGTAAGATATATTTGTTTATTTGGTAGTAATTTTTTAATGCAAAGTTTAGGGCAGGGAGAGAAGTATATTCACTGCTGGATACATCCAAAATTGGCCACAGTGAAGGAAATGCATAAAATATTAAACTAATTTTTTTTCAGTAACTCCATTCCTGTTGTGTTATGTAAAGGAGCTGTGTGCCACTTCGATGTGTGAGCAACTGGATTATTCGAGTAGCTACAGTATTTTTACTGATAATTTTGGCATCTATAAGGCCAGAACCTGTAGAGGGATCCTCAGTTTTTAAATGGTCCATTTATAAGAGTTTCTTTTTGGAAATCACCATTTTCCCACAGAAATAATGTCACATGTGCCCTTCAGATTCCCAGGCCAGCCCAACATATCTGAATTTGAAAACTGATAATATTGTAAAAACTAGCTTCTATGTATAATATTGTCTCAACAAGAATATGCTCTGAGTACACTGAGTGCATCAGGTACTGAAAGATTAAGAACATAATCTTGAAGATGGGGTGGTGGAGTCACATTCTTTCACCATCCTAGCAAGGACTCCCAAGCCTTGGGCAGAGGGCTTTCTTCTCTGGTGGAGGCTGAGCACAGGGTAAGTAGTGGGACGAGGCCTGTAGCAGACAGGAACGTTTTCCCGGCTTGTCTCCTCAGAAGGCTGTATAGTATAGTAAGTTGCCTTCAATTCTCTGTTCCATTACAGAATTCTCATCTATAAAATGTAATTATAACTACTGCCTACCTTATAGGGTTCTTAGGAGGGTTAAATGTGTTAATATATGTAAAGCGCTTAAAACGGCACCTGGCCCATAGGTGAGTGCATAGGAAATGTTACATATTTACTGTTAAGCCTTACTGTTTTAGGACCTCTAGAATACCTCCCCACTTTGCAGTTCACTGCCCATATCTATTGTACTTAAATAGGATTGATTAATCTTCCTTTCCAACGAGAAATGGTTTCATAGCTTTTCATTTTCATCCCTGCCTAAAGTAAGCATCTTTTTTTTTCTTTCTTTCGAGGCTTTTCTGGGGTTTATTTAGTAATATCGGAGAAATGGGTAGCATTTAGAATCTCTTCTATGAACCTGTCCCCATCCCGTATTTAGGCCTTGAGAGGATGGGGAGACACTTATTTGAAGATACTTGACTGTGGACATGTGATTGGGTCAAGAATTTTGAGGCACAAACTTTTCGACTTTTGGTAGTTCAAACTAAGTCATTTCTTTTTAAGTAAGTTTCTCATTTTGGAATAATTTTAGATTTGCAGAAAAATTACAGAGATACTACAGAGTTCTATATTTCCTTTACCGAGGTATATACATAACCATGGTACATTTGTAGGTAACATAAGACACTAACATTAGTACATTACTTTTAGCTAAACTGCAATTTT